TCCCTTGCGCGCTGGGTGTTGGCTGGACTTACCACTGCATATCAAAGCTAGGAAAGCAGTAATCAATATAAAGAGTCCAGATAACGCGTGCTTTGCGTGGGCAGTAGTCGCAGCTATGTACCCTGCCGACACTAATGTAAACAGAATGTCACAGTATCCACATTATTCGAGAGTGTTAAATCTTGATGGTATCGAGTTTCCAATGTCTCTAAATAAGATCGGACAATTTGAACGTCAGAATAACTTGTCTATTAATGTGTTTACCATTAAAGAAGAGAATTATATAGGGGCAAATTATATTTTGCCCCTTCGTCTTACAGCACATAAGAAGGAGGTTCACGTTAATCTGTTGCTCATATATGGAATTCGATGTGGCAAAAAGGTCATGCATTTCACGTGGATAAAGAATTTGTCACGCTTAATAAGCACGCAATTGAGTAAACGTAAAGCAAAGAAATATGTATGTGATCGGTGAGTACAATATCTCTCTCTCTCTCCCTGTCCCTATTTTTTAATTAATGATACATTAAATGTGCTTTTGTTACAGATGTTTGCATTATTTTTATTCGCAAAGAAAATTAGCGAATCATATCATTGACTGCGAAAGTAGGAACGAATGCGCTGTCGTTCTTCCGTCCGACAAAGATAAGTGGTTATTCTTTCGTAATCATCAGAACAAGGAGCGACTTCCGTTTGTCGTATACGCCGATCTGGAATGTATATTAGAGAAGAAGGATAACGAAGAGGAAAGAGAAATGGACATCGATAGAGAGGGGGAGGAGGAGGAGGAGGATGACAACGACGAAGAGCGTCGAGATGACATTCCGCGTAGACGCGCCTATCAACATCATCGTGCGTTTAGCGTAGGATATTATGTTTGCGGCGCGTACAATTACACATCGACGTACAAATATCGTAATCATCAGAACAAGAAGCGACTTCCGTTTGTCATATACGCCGATCTGGAATGTATATTAGAGAAGAAGGATAACGAAGAGGAAAGAGAAATGGACATCGATAGAGAGGGGGAGGAGGAGGAGGAGGATGACAACGACGCGGTGAGGATTGTGTTACATGGTTCGTCAATGAGTTGCATGAATTGGCTCAACTTGTGAAGTCGATACTCGTTAGTAATGTGCCCATGATCGATTTGACATCTGACGAATGGCACGTTTTTTGGAATAGATCGGAAGAGCACACGTCTGA